CTACTACTACTACTACTACTACTACTACTACTACTACTACTACTACTTAGTACTAGTAACAAGATGCTTTTTATGTATCTCTTGCGAAGGCGAGTTGCGTGAAGTAGAGAGAGAGAGGTAAAGTCATAAGCTGGATACGCATCCAATCAGGCCAGGCCACCGCCAAGTCGTGACACGGTTGAACCTGCCACTAGGATGTCACCACTCGAATATGGCCCCCACTTCCATTGGAATCAGTTGTTTTTCCTTGTAGAGCTCCCCCAAAGACCCTAACCATTCCATGACCTTTTCAATCCAATCACCACCCTCTTTTCTCCGCTCGATAGACCCCTGGCTTGGCTTCAAGCCAGCCAACGCGAGGGCGCGAGCCCCAGTGTCACGCCTAGAGACGGAGAGGTCAAACAGCAGCGAATCGATGTGGACGCCAGGGACTTGGTGAGACACCGTTGATCCATGCAATTTTTCGACGTGGAGACGTGTGGTGCGGAACTTCTTCCGTTTCAATGAAATCTGGTGCTGGTGCCCCATCAATGCATCCTTCATCATCCAAACACACAACATCTGGTAGGTCGGTCACATTTCGAGAGAGATGTCCAACATCGACACCAAGCTTTGCAATTTGTAGGGGCAAAACTCCAGAAGACCTTCTGGCACAACACCATTGCTGACCTGAAACGACACATACTAGAACACACCCAGTTCCCAACCCCCAATTCACCATCAACGGGACACTCTTGCCAATGCAGTCTGCGCCATGGGTGCTCATTGGACTTCGTTGCAGTTGTTGATTGTGCACGCCCAAAAGGATGAAACGCACAAAACGAGAAGTGTACACTGGACAGCCACTTTTAAGCTCGAAAATAGGAGCGACCTGCTTGCAGGTTATGAGCCCAAGGTTGAAGGCATAAGACCCGGCTTGAGGAGGTCGATCGCCGGGCCGCCCTGCGCAAGCGAAGCCATGTCGGTCATGGCGCGGCGCCGACGCCAGGTGCCAGGCGAAGGTGGAGAAGATGACCCTGACGATCAGGGAGGCCTTCATCTACAAGATCGGCAGCTGGAAGACGATCAGCTGGCCTTAGAAGATGGTGAAGAAGAGGGTGAGGAGACCCTGGAGGGTCCGAAAGGGCCACCAACAACCAACAACTCTGACGCCGATGACCCCGCTCTTCACGCCTGAGCAGCTGAAGGGACTTCATGAGGTACAGAGCCAAGCTCCTCACCTATATGCCCAAGTTCCGAGGCAGAGCATTTGGCAGCTTGGGATGGTTACCAAGTCTCCAGAGGAGGTGAAGAAGGAAAGACCACCGTTCCTATGAAAGGAAGAAGGGCCGGCGGGAGTACCTCCACAAACGAGTACGACAACGGGGACACCGTCACCTATGCTGATGGGAGATCATGTACCAGAAGACCAACGACGTGGGCGACCAAGAGAACCACGGGTACCCGGGTACCTGAAGTACAAGAACCTGGAAACGACAGTGATGGTCAAGGACAAGTTCAACCGCGAGAACAATCTGTGGTTCAAGTTCTAGGGAATGGACCGGGAGGAAGGTCTATATGTTCCAAGGGGCTTTGGACAAACGGGGCCACCTGTGGGTACATCATGCCCCATGAAGAGAGGAGGGGACCAATGCCGCATCAAGGAGGATGGCAAGTTCAACTTCATCCATACGGTCCTGGTCCAGGAGATGATGACCATGTTGGCGATGTTGAGAGAACCTCCTTGGCACTGGCTGCATTGCGTGGCTGGCAAGCCGCTAGTTTGGACATCAAGACCGCCTTCTTGAACGCCCCTCTACGAACTCTTCAAGAGAGCAGCCGGCAGAAGGTACTCGCCTTGGAAGATGCTCATGGTCGACTTCATGAGAATGAGGGTGGCGATGGAGGAGGTCACACGAAGGTCAAGAAGATGAAATCCCGGAGGAGCACGAGAAGGACCTAACCAAGAGAAAACGGTTGGTACTTATGCTCCCGCCCAGGAGGTTGAACGAGCTCTTTATGGCCTACGAGAGTCTCCGAAACTTTGGGGGGACTACAGGGACATTGAGATCAGCCAAATGTCCTTCCAGGCGAACCACATCACCTACGAGTACCAGCAAGGCTTTGTCTCAGTGGAGGAGAATCTGTGGCTGGTGCGCAGAAAAGATTCCGGAGATGGTGATCGGGTCGAGGGACTCCCCTTGCTGTACGTGGACGATGTGATGCTATTTGGCACCAAAGAGATCGTAGAAGGGGGGCTACAGAGTTTTCGGAAGACCTGGGAGACTTCAGAACCTACCTGGGTGGGAGACGCAGAACCGGTTCGGTACTGTGGTATGGAGTTGAGTCGAACAGAACAGGGAGACTTCTTTGCCAATCAATGTTCCTACTTGAGGGAAGTGGTTCGGAGACGTGGCATGGAGGACCTCTGCAGTGCCCAAATGATGAAAGACTCTCATGATCAGGAACCTGAAGATGAGCTGGATCGCACCTCTACAAGTTCGGGAGGCACAACAACTCGGAGGTGAGCTTCTTTGGCTGGCGACGAAGACAAGGCCCGACATCGCCTATGTAGTCAGCAGGATTTGCTCAGCCACGAGCCGTGCACCAAAATGAGCAGTTCAAACGGCCCACCAGCTCATTCGGCACTTGAATGCCACCCAGGGTCTTGGCCTGTGGTACCGCAGAGACGCCAACTTCATCTTGGAGTCAGTCAGTGACGCGTCGTTTGCCCCAGGAGGAGCCCACAGCCATGGTTGCGTGATCACGACTTTAGCTGGTGCGCCAGTGGCATGGAAGAGTTGCAAACAGCCGTTTCCTGCACTGTCGACAGCAGAAGCTGAACACATTGAAGTCATCGAGGCAGTGGTCGTTGGTGACAGCATCGCGTGTCTGGTTGATGAGATGGTGAGAGATGTTCCAAAGTTCCTTAAGTGCGACAACACTGCTGCAGTGTCAATAGCAAGTTGTGCTACTGGAGCGTGGCGCACGAGGCACTTGAAAGTTCGAGCTGCTCGCCTTCCATGGAGACTTCAATCAGGTCACTGGGAGCTGAAATACCAACCAGGAAGAGAGCTCATTGCGGACATCGGCACCAAGGCTTTGCCAGTGGCTCGAGTCAATGAGTTGAGACAAAGGATGGGAATGTCATGGCAACCGGACTCAGTTGATGAAGTCCACGAAGAAGATAAGGGCATCGTCGCGCCTCACGCCATGAAGTTGGTGGCCAAATACCATCTGGAGAAAGCCATGAGGCTCGTCGTGGTGCTGTCCGCCTTGAAGGAGGTGCATGGAGCTATGGCCGAGAATGTCACCAAGCGTGTTGATGAGAACATCGAGGGTGACCAGATCTTGTACGTCCTCAGCGTCATGATGATGTTGCTGGGAATGGTACTCATGAAGATCCTTCAGCGATGCCGCCTACAATGGGGTCGGGTGGAGGAAGAACCAACGATGCGCAGAGTGAGGGTCTCTCAACTGGCTGAGCGGACTTCTTCCGGGACAAGGTCTTCTACAAGGATTCAAGAAGAAAGAGGCCAAGGATCACACCAAAGGGGAGAAAGTCAGCAGCGAATGAATGACAGGGGGCAGAACACTTCATCGTTGTCGCCAAGGGGTACCAGTTCTGATGGGGATACGAGAAATGAAGGTCATGGAAGGGACAATCCCATACAAGCTGAACCGCAAGAAGAACCGCCCAATCGAGCTGACCTACCTGGGGAGCAACGATTGCAGATCACCCTGACTGGAAGGAGGAGACGATTTGCCGCTGAACCCATATGGCAGATCTGGCTTGCGGAGTCCAGCCAATGCTTCCATCGACAGAGGAGCTGCAGAGGGCTGAGAAATGCCAATCGAGTGCGAGAGCATCCGGTGCGTGGGGCATGCCAGAGGGCAACCCAAGGCCAGAGGAGCCTCAGAGAAGCGAGCTTCGTCTACGAGGATCAGCTCGGCAACCACCACACCGATGCTCGGTGCAGTGCAGTGGCAGGGCCGATGTTGGAAATCCGCCAATGCAAGATATGCGGATTGTAAAGCGGTTTGAGCCTACGGCTCGCTTTTGGGAATGCTGGTCGACAGACGAAAAAACCTGTCGACCAGGGAGGAGTGCACGTCCAAAAGGATGAAACGCACAAAACGAGAAGTGTACACTCGGCAGCCGCTTTTAAGCTCGAAAATAGGAGCGACCTGCTTGCAGATTGAAACCAATTGATTTGATGTTTGAGTCTCCTGTGTTGAACAAGTTAAAATTTCACAACCACTCGACTCAACTGAAACAAACCCTTGACCCCCCATCTAGCCGATGGGTGTTTACGAAAAAGCGGTTCGACAGTCTTATTGGGTGTGATGGATGTTTTGGCACGGTGACCCGTCGTTCACAGTGCTAGGAGTCTTTGAGCAGGGTGCTAGGATGTGCCAAGAAACCTGAACGTTTAAAAAGGACCACGAGAGACTCCAACGTGTTGTGAACATCCGTTTCTCTAGTTGTTATTGAATTCGCCTGAAAAGGCCGTGACATACTTCAGTTTGATCAGAAGGAACATTTTCTGTGATTCTGCGGCAGAGACCATCTGAGCCGGTCAGACATGGCTCAACGGTTCAACACTTCGGATTTGGATGCCTTGAGCCGGTCACATTCCCCGCTGAAAAAGGAATGTTGGAACCGGAGGCGCAAAAACGCGATCTCCTGAGGTCTCCCAGCCTGTCGTTGGATCTCCTTTTGAATCCCCTTGTGACCCCCCCCGAAAAAGGAAATGTGCGAGTTGGATCCTGCGAATCTCCTTCGAACCCTGTGAGGGCGAAGTCGGGACCGCAAAGTCCAAAGGAATCCAAATTGGACCGCTGCGCGACTCGGCCAGCAGCGCGGTCGGGTTCCGTTGCGACAACTCGTCACGCCCTGGACCCGAGAGTTGGCCCGAAGGACCGAAGGACCAAAGGGTTTGCACCCCACAAAAGGTGGAAGGAGTTGAAGAATCAAGGTGGGAACATGGAGAGCTTCATTTCTCCAATTTGGACAGATTGAACGTGAAGTTCGACACCATGTTCCAGACTCCTTGCGGTCCTTCGCTCCCTTTGAAACCAACCCCGCTTTGGTCGTCGCCCGCTCCGCCGCACCCGCGCGGCTCACGGAAGCGGCCTTGGGGGGGCCAGGTTCGACCCTGAGGACCCCGAAGCATGGCAGCCTGGTCCCATCTGGGGCACTGAATAACCCTATAAGATCCATGTTCAACGCACCCGAAGGTTGCCCCAGATTCGAAGGCTTGCCCACTTCGATTCCAAAGCTGGGGCAACCTTTGAAGAGGGGCCCAACTACAGCTACAATCCCACACTCAGGCTCCTGTCGAGTGAGCATCTAACAAGGTTACCACATCTGCAATTCACGGCAACGAGATTCTTGGTCTTGCTCCAAATGCTTGTTTGGAAGCCAGGCCACAGCATGTCTTGTAGACTTTAACCAAGTGTTCTGTGCAGTAGTCAGTCAACAATCAGCCCAAATGCTGCTTCTGGCACCACGCCCTTGCATTGCAACATGATGGAGAATGGATGCAACCTAATTAGAGAAACAGGAGAAAGCACCTAAGGTGACCCCCGAAACACACCTTTGCACATCCCCAAACCGGTGCAAGCGACATCTCAAAACGGGAACAAAAAACCCAGCGCCGCTCAGCAGAAACGGATCTTTCTTTCTGGCAAAGTCGACGTCCTCAGGCTTTGGAGGACTTACTTACGCTCGATTTCTCAAGAGACGACGTTCCAACACACCATCTGCTCAGAACAGCCTAGAAATCTGACAAAGCACCATATTAAGGCAACATCCCAAACTGGAGTACCATGTGCCACTATTAAGGCTCATTCTGCTTGGCTTGTTGTCCCTTGTACACCACCATGTGTACACCACACGTCTACACCGAGTTCGGTGACTGCATGTTCGGACGGTTTTCGTCCGCGCGACCCTGAACGGTGTGGACGCGCTGGTCCCCTACGGCGGTCCGGAATCTGTCTCCAGAAGCTGCCAGACCCGTCGGTGGGCGCCCTGGCAAGCGAGGCAACATATCCATGTAAGTAAGTAAGTAAGTAAGTGAGGTGTAATGTAGACGTATTAATACACCCCCCCTCACCCCCCCATTTGATTTGAACATCCTCTTGAAAGGGGGGGGTTCATTAATCAAGAGTCTACATTAGACTATAGCTGGACCCTTTGATCTACGAGGGCAACACGAACTTCGGCCGAGACTTGAAGAAGTCGTCCTACGCGTCTTTTGGCCGTGACGAGCGGACACCGACCGGCCGTGCATCAGGAACTTCTGAAAAACAAACACAATCTGATGCCACTCTCGATTCAGTGGTCCATGAAAACATGTGTCAATCCAGCGGTACGGACTCTCTCTGGATTTCCTCAGCCCGCCCCGCCTGTGGCTGCTCCGAACCGCCCGTGTCCATGGAGGTATCAACTTCCGACTCTGAGCCCTCTTCGCCTCAAGCAGACTCGGAGTTGGTATTTGAAGAGGGAAACCCCCCTGCCCCCATGATGGAGCTGTCGATTCTTCCTTCTTCCAGGGGTCGAATTGGGCAAGCCATACGCTCTTCCAATCAGCCACCGCAGCGAGCCGCCGCGGTGGATTCGGTGGATTTCGGGTGGAAACACGATGAAGCAACCATGCAGGTGGATGTTGGAGCTTTTTCCAGGGTGATAGATGGTGCACCGCACGCGTCACACCATCTCCAACGAGTAAATTCATGCTCAGCAAGACTTGGGAGTTCACTGAACAACCTCTTTGGCGACCTCGTTCTCGGTCGCGCAAAGCTAACGGCGGCCGTACTGCGTACTGCGCGTTCGGTCAAAGCTACTGGTGCCCCTCCTTGCCCCTTCTGGAGGCGAACCGAACCGAACACCCTCTGATCCCCAGCACCATCGAATCCCGATGGACCGACGGACCGCCCAGTCACTGACACACTGAAATGACTTGGTGCGCACATTCCTCCAGATCTCTTTCACAGACTGAAAAGCATCCTGGTCCCATTCGGCCAAGCGAGTTGTATTGACCACCTCGGTCTTCTGCACTTGTCGCACCCAATCCGCCAACTCCTTCTTCTCCATCGTTTGAAGCAGGAAGTTGGAGAGGTGTTCAATGACATCCTCCAAAACTCGCTTGCAAAAAGCAAAAACGCACAACTACAAAACTCTCTCTCTCTCTCTATCTCTTTCCCTCTCGTGTTCAACTCTTGGCTTGTGGGGGCAACTCTACCAGGTTGAGATCGAGATCCTAGCTGTAAGCTGTTGCGGTCCACTTACCGTCACAACGTGATTTAACGTTGGCCACCGATCTAGCTCAGCTTTCACCCACTTCTAGCCTATAGAGCTGTTTTAGATTCACCATGTGCTCCAAACACATCAACGAAAACGGGTGCATTATTTATGGTGCATTTATTCAAGCAAAGCTGAGGTGAATAGCTAGAATCTTATGACGAACACTTCATCCCTTGTCGAACCAAACATCCGTCTGACGAGCTGCCCGCTTCAACACCATGAGCTTCGGGGACGTTAAACCCGAAAGTAAGCGTGGCACACGTGTCGTAAGACCTGGAAGCTGTGTGCCTTCCCCCAAGAGGGAGCACAAAACTATGTCAAATGGAAAGGAGTTGAAACACTCTAACAGTCTCTAACTCATCATGTCTTGACATGCGTTGACTATAAGTATACAGTATATATATATATTTAACACAAATAGATGTATGAGTCACCCCAGTCCTCGGCTTCCTGGTGGTTCCTGAAGGCCTTGCGCAGCTCGTCGATGATGGCGCCGATTTCCACAGACTCAGTGTTTCCATCCTTCTGGCTGATCCTCGAGGCGGATCCGTCTGGCGGTGTTGCGGACCAATGTTCTGATGGTGTGGACCGGGTCCCTCAAAAAAGGGCGGTATACCGAAATGGAAATGGTGTGTTCATCTGTAATTGAAAACTGGACATGTCTTTACAATCAAGATGGAATTCACCTAGCAACAGCCAGGATGGTATATTTCAGTGAGACCTTTGGCAACCCCCCTTCCGACCAAACAGCCTCCGTATGAGAAAGGAACGAAGAACAAAGAAACCTGAACCGAAGGAGCAGTTGAATCTGTCTCCTGTCAGACCTGTGTGACGTCCAGTGACCCTGCTTTTCCCACTTAAAGCGAACGTGCCAAAACCAACTTGCAACAATTGTTAAAAACACTGGACTGATCGACTATCCCATGACGGTACCCCAGGCAAGCTCTGTTGGTTCTTCGAACTTCATCGACTTCGACACTTGACTTTGTCGCGCCTCTGGGTGATTGGGCGCCGCCCAAATCAACTCCCAGACGCGGTCTCCCACCGGTCTCCCCCCGGTGTTCGCGGCCTCCGCAGGGTGTTCGCGGCCTCCAGCGAGCGCACCATCCACGCCACGATCTCGTTGCGGATGTTGAAGGTTCGATAGAGCACCGCGCGGTAGACGTCTCCTTTCTAGGAACAAGAGGACGCTACTAGGGGCTCCTTTCTGAAGGTCGCAGCAGGTGCGGAGAGCAGGTGCGGAGAGCAGGTGCGGAGAGCAGGTGCGGAGAGCAGGTGCGGAGAGCAGGTGCGGAGAGCAGGTGCGGAGAGCACGTGAACGAGGTGCCAAACGAGCGGGCGATGCCAAATGAGGTCGCACGTCGCACGGGCAGCGCTCGGGGGCAGCGATCGGTATGGTGATGGTTCCAAGGTGTGGAGGAGATGGTCAAAACTCTTTCCCTGGTGACAGCTACCAGTGTCCTAAATACAGTATAGTGCTCAGATGTGGTCAGGATATCTGGCCACACGAAATACTGGAGCTGAAGCAAGACGAGGGAAACCCAAGAAACTGCAGCTGACACTTCGGATGGACTAGATCAAGTGTCCAACCCAACCCCGGACCTGGGGCGGGCCGGAAACCACCACCGTCTTTTTCGGGTCTTTTGGGAGCCAGCACAAGAGAAGAACTGTGAACACGTTGATCGCACTTGAAAGTATGACTTACAAAAACCATCCGTCCATCCGTTTGACCAAGCTGTTTGTTCTTCATCCTCTTCACCAAGCATCTGCCAGGCACCCACTTCGAGGCCACTGCCATGATCTCACAAATGAGTCGGGGCATACTCACCAGCCAGGTCAAAGCAGTCAACGCCAATACGAAGACCTCGGACATGGCCGGTCTTGAGGCGATCGAAGATGGAAGAATTGGGAGGTGTTGCTGCAAGGTTGAAGATGTGGGTGGGGAAGATCTAACTGGGAAAGTACATAAAAGAAAACCTTTTTTGGTTCAACAATCTTTTGGATCAACAGTATATTTGGGGGGAGCACTTGGGATTCCAGCATCAATGAAGTTGAAGAAAACATGAGAAAACCACCAGATGGAAGCGCCAGTGAGATCACTAAGACCGGCCGAAGTGTGTGAAGGTGCCATCCACTTTGAAACTGCACCAACAGTAATGCAGGGTTGTGCACTAGAACCTGATATCCGGTTGATTTCTGGGAGTCTTTCTGCACAGCCTAGGATATCAACGAACACGTCACGCAATCCACAACAAATCACCTGTGGGTTTACCAAATCCAAGGCGTTTTCTTGCTCCCACACGTTCTACAACCATCTCACCACCGCACCAACACTCTCCCGTCCGCGTCCGCGTGAAAGGCGGCGGACGACGGGGCACTCCGAAGTTGAACCTCCGCACGGTGCCCGTCTTACTCTCCAAGAGAAAGGCGAAACCCGCGTCCTGCTTTTAGGCTGGAGGACATCGTTAATTCGGTTGGAAGCCATTACTTGCAGGCTCGAGGCCATCGCGGAAACAGGGTAAACATGACGAAAGGGGTGTGCAAAGGGATCCTGTCTGTGGGCGTTGAAGCCACCGATTGACCCCGCAACACCCAACTTGAACCTCACCAGGTGCCCGGTGACCTTGTTTTACATTCCCGAATGCGTAGCGAAGGGTTCTCGTTTAACTCTGGGGGTCTGGGGGTAGAGCCTTGTTCGCGACTCGTTGTCTGAGCGACGGCAGCCGTTCGCAACCGTCCGCCGCAGGGCGCTAAGGCGCTGACATTGAAATAGCGAGGAAACGTGTGGAAACGTGTGGAAACGTGTGGAAACGTATGACTTTCAAGTGTGGAGGGTCATTTCACTGCACAGGCGCAGCGTTTTGTGAGATCTGCGGTTTTGTGCGGGGATTGGCGTTTGGTGTTGGGTGTGGCTCTGACATTGGGATTTGCACTTCAGGGTGTTGCATCGAAGCTGTTTTTTTCACGACACGTCTCAACTGAAATGGCGATTTTGGTGGGTGGCAGTGTGCTCAGAACGTGTCGAAATTTTTCCAAACGTGTGGCATGGTGCAATCTTTGTTGAAGCTCACATGATATGATATTGTCACTTTTCGTGGCAGGCGCTTGGAGACTTGACGAGTGAATTTTGGAAGAAGTCTTGTGCGAAATGCTCGTTTTGTAGACTTGACGTGTGACTTTTGGAGGAAGTTTCGTACGCAACGCTCGTGCTGGAGACGCGACGGTTGACTTCTGGAGATTTTGGTCGTCCCACACAAGAGTGTCCTACAAGAGTGTGCCACAAGAGGGTCCCACAACAGATGTGCCTTTTAACCAAGCCTGTGTACACCACATCCCAAAAGCTTTCTCTGGTGGTCACCACGGAAGTGTTTTTGAATCAAGCCTGTGTGTCACCGACAGATGATGCTGATGGAGGCTTTGGACTGTTGGCTTTTTCGGTGGGCACGGGCTGCGTGTGGCTGCGTGAATATGAAGAAATGGAGATGGAAGATATGGTGTGATTGTTCCACTGAAGTTTCCCCTACTTTACCTTTCTGGCCTGTCAACAAGTCTCCAACACTTTTTCCTTGGTATTTCATGCCCCCAGAAGAAAAGGAATCACTGAGTCTGCTTAGAGTCACCACACCCGCTCCTCCCCGGCACGCGCGTGGGCGCGCTTGCAAGGGTGTTTTTGCGCGCAGTTCACGCGCTTCGATCTTCGCTCAGGGCGCAATCAGCAAGCTCTTGATCGACTTCTGAAGGAATTTATCGGGCGCATGCGTGAATGATGTGATCCCCCTCATGAAGAGATTTCTGCCCCGGCCCCATTTGTTGGAAGCCAAAAACAAAATATGCATCTTGTTGGCAGGGTGGACGCCTTCTAGTACAAGAACATACTGTATTCAAAAGATGCTGAAGTTGCACATTGCCTGTTCAGCATCAGAAAAAGCCACGCCGGCTAAACAAGATTGGTGCGCATAGTGAAAGCCAGCCTCCAACAAATTGCGACTTCGGCTCTTCTCTTCATGCTCTTGGAAGTTCCATGCTTGCCAAGTGCATGGGTTTGACTTGCCCTGAAATCCTATGAGCCAACGGGCCTAGCCCTAAGTCACAAAAATTAGTAAATTTACATTTTTATTGGATTTACGTAAATTGATGAATTTAGGTGGCAAAAAGTGTAAATGGGTTAGTACAACCTAATTTTTTTAGGTTGGTCTTCACTAAGGGTTTTCCTATTTTCTCTCTACTTTTTGATTTGCAAATATTCAAAACTGCATCTAAAACACACCCTTTGAAGAAAGTAGTTTGTAAACCATATAGCCACAAGTAGAGACACTTGGATAAAATCACAAGCACACACACATTCAGGTATAAGCACACAGGAAAGACAAGCACAAGCAAAATGACTTGGGTGAAACAGAAAATCATTCATACTCAGGTAAACACAGTTCCAATTTGGAAGAACATGTTGCCACACAGTGTTTGGGCTGCTACTTTTTTGGGCAGCTGCTTTTCCAGAAAACCCTCTAACTTAAGCATTGTTTTCCAGAAAACCATCCTCTTCAACTTCTGGTGCTTCCTCCTCCTCCTCCTCCTTATCCTCCGGAAAACCCTTCTGCCCAGCCATGAGCTGCTGGTTTCCTCTCTGGCTGCGCGGTCTCTCCACTTGCAGCAGGCCTTTTCAAAGAGTTGGCCTTTGCCTTTGACTTTGGTTTGCCCTTTCCTTTTGCTTTTGCTTTGGGGCTCTTTCCTTTAGGGCTCTTTGCTTTTGGGCTCTTTGTTTTGGCAGCAGGTTTCTTCTTCACAGGGGTGATTTTTGCTCAACCTCTTCCTTCTCTTCAGGTGTGACTTGGCCCATAGGAATTTCTTCGTCTGCCATGCCAACAAGCTACTGCACCTGTCTTTCAAATCTTTCACAGCTCTTTTGAGATCAATCTAGCTGCAAGAGTAAACAACAACCAATAAGCCTGCAGTAAACTCTCAACAACTTCAGTTTGAACAACATACAATGCTGATCAACTCTTTGTGCAAAAGCATTACACGCTTGCAACAAGACATTCATAATACGTTTCCAAATCATCTACCCGCAAATCTTCTCACTAAAATCAACCTACAGGACCGAAATTTACCTAGCCTATATGAACCCTGACACCATAGTCTTCCATATCGACCAGAGGTTCGGCCTCCATGTCTGAAGTCCCCGACTCTCATCTGCGCAGCCTGCCCACATAAAGCCACAACATGAGTCCGTCAAAAACTTCTAAGCGAGCCAGAACCACCACTCAAAGCACCCAGTGCATGAACATGTCACCGACACCTCAGGTTATTCAATGCATGGGGATGCAAAAAGTGAAAAGCAGCACGGACAAGGGCGGAACTGGAAGCGGCCGCCGCACAGAGAGGATGGCCTGTGAGGGCCAGTGCAGGTCGCCAAAGGCTTCAAAGGTGAGGCTTTCAGGGCACGGTCTCCATCAACAGATCAGTGCATCCAACACCATCCTACTACTTATCAACTTGGCATGACAGGATCACATGGGTGAATCAGACCCAGCCCCTTGACTGAAGCTGGAAAGCGTATAAATCACAAACGCTCGTCCCTGCTGCTCTTGGTTTCTCCGTCCAGTGGTTTGCAGGTGGCTCGTTTGTAATCCAAGGATCTGCCTGCCCCTTTGGCAAAGGCAAAGCCAAAATCTGCATGTCAAGGCAAGCGTGAAGGGGACAGCAACGGTTTCAAAGAGCCCATGCAAGAGGAACAGGAATGGCGCTGCAAAGAAGAAGCCGGCGTCCGGCAGAAAGGAGAAGAATGAATTTCAAGAAAGTGCCACTGTGTATCTTAGTGAAATTGGACTGTCTGGAGTCCTGAAAGAACTGAATGTCAGCTTGCTTGTAGAACATGTTCTGTTTTAATTGAAGCAGTCTCGTCGAGGTCTATTCGAAAGCATGGGTGAAGGCAAAGAACGAGGGCCTGGGGAAGGAAGAACCGGCCGCAGCAGTGCGGGAAGCCCGCGCCCAGCTGCTTGGCATCTTGATGTGACGGAATCTGTTCTGCAGTTGTGTGCTCTTGGGAGATCCTAGGTTCGTTCTGGCCGTAATGAGACGCCTGCTGTCATCTAGCCCGTCTTCACCCAACTGCACCGCGGAGGGGTCGCGGTTAACACTGCTTGGGGTTGCGTGGGAGTGAGCAGTGGGGGTTCGGATCTTATCCACCCAAAACGTGAGCAGGGTGAGCAGTGTTCCACTCAAAAAGACAAAGAATCAAAGAGCTTCCAAGGTGGAAAGGCCGCTTGCAGCCGAATGCGATCAAAAGCAAAAGTAATCCTCCCACCTGCCTTCATGGCAACGTGGACTGCCTGCGCAGACCAAAAGGCTCAACTAACCGGATACAGAAGAAGAAACTGGGACCAGATTGTGAGTTAACGAAGAAAAGCGAAACAAAAGAGATGCGGGCGAAACGGAAGCACGCGCGCACCGCCTGGTGGCTTCCTCTCAGTGTCACACTGCCGTCGCCAACGGTGTAAGGGTTTCGTGAGCGTTCAAGAGGCTCTTGATCGCTGCCATCCTCAGCCAGGAAAAAGCTGCTCTTGTGCCACTAAGACAAGCAAGAGAGAGAGAGAGATATATATATATATACCTACATCTTCCAACGAGCAGAAAAAAGTGTGAGCAGATGTGTACGCAGTGAGTGGCCAGGAACCGAGCCCAAGTCGACTTAATTTTTTGTGCTCGACCAAAGTCTCCCAAAACGTCATGGATTCTGAGACTTCGTATGGCGTTTTCTTCGTAGCTAGATTTTCTAATATCAATGGGTCCTCTAGGTATAGTAACAATGACACTATTCAGGACACTGTTTCTTCCGAGCTGCTCTTCGGGAGGCACATCCAGCGTGACCGTCTCCTTGCGATCGCATCGGGTGTTTATGTGTGTGTGTGTCCGTCACTGGTGTCTGATGTTTTCACGCTCGGACCGACGAAGTGACCTCGTCGGCTTGCTCAGCGTTGGCCGCAACTTGCTGCGCCTGGAAAATGAGAATCCGCAGTGGAAATCTGCTTTGAGAGAGTGTTCCATATGGACAGTTAACTAAGTGCTTATCTGGCTCTCACCATCTGGGATGACTCTGAAAAGTGCATGGTAGTGACAGGATGGCAGGCCGGTGGACAATCAGAATCAATCCGCTGTGTATATACAGTACATGTACACCTTTTTCATACGGTTATAATACTGTTCAGAGCAAGGACTTGATTTGTCTGAGGGGGCACTATATATATTCTTTTTTTGCAGTGTGTTTGGTTGCTTTTGATGGTGCTTGCAAACAACTAAGCATCTGATGGTTCAGGAATAGGTATGAGTAGGTATCAAACGGCTTCAGAAGGTATCGTATACATCGTGTCCGACAAGAGTGTCCTACAATTACAAGAGTGCCTGCAGCAGGGTGTCCCACAAGAGTGTCCGACAAGAGTGTTCCGCAAGAGTGCCCTCCATGAGTGAGCGTCATACAAGAAAGAGTGTCCTACAAGAGTGTCCCTCAAGAGTCCCCTACAAGAGTGTCCCACAAGACTGTAAGGGTAAGAGTGTCCCACAAGAGTTTCCTACACGAGTGACCCACAAGAGTGTCCTACAAGAGTGTCCTACAAGAGTTTCCTACAAGAGTGTCCCACAAGAGTGTCCCACAAGAATGTCCTACGAGAGTGTCCTACAAGAGTGTCCCTCAAGAGTGTCCTAGAAGAGTGTCCCACGAGAGTGTTGCACAAGAGTGTCCTACGAGAGTGTCCTACAAGAGTGTCCCTCAAGAGTGTCCTACAAGAGAGTTCCGCAAGAGTGCCCCACCAGAGTGTCCGACAACAGCGTCCGACAAGAGTGTCCTACGAGAGTGTCTCACGAGAGTGTCCCACAAGAGTGTCCCACAAGAATGTCCTACGAGAGTGTCCTACAAGAGTGTCCCTCAAGAGTGTCCTAGAAGAGTGTCCCATGAGAGTGTTGCACAAGAGTGTCCTACGAGAGTGTCCTACAAGAGTGCCCCTCAAGAGAGTCCTACAAGAGAGTTCCGCAAGAGTGCCCCACCAGAGTGTCCGACAACAGCGTCCGACAAGAGTGTCCTACGAGAGTGTCTCACGAGAGCGACACATCCCACAAGAATGTCCTACAAGAGTGTTTTTTCGCAAGTGTGTCCTACAAGAGTGTTCCGCTAGAGTGCCCCGCAAGAGTGAGTGTCATACAGGGTGTCCCACAAGAGTGCACAAGAGTGTCCCACAAAGGTTTCCGAAAAGAATGTGTCCTACAAGAGTGTCCCACAGATGTGTCTCCTACAAGAGTGTCATTCTTTTTTTTGGGTGTTTGTTTTCGAGTACGTGTTTGCGTTCGGGTTTGTGGGTTGCATCCCGTTCCATTCACATGTTGCATATGTTTCCCGCTGGAGTGTAAGTTCTAAATCTCCGGTGTATAACATATATATATATAACTCACTAAGCTTGGAGATTGCAAATCCAGCTGGTAAAGAAAGTGCTTTGGGCCAGTGATTGTCAATAGTCAAGTCGTGGTAAAGAGCGATCATAATGAGTACTGTATTGCTATGTATTGCTCAAGACTTCGGAAGTATGCCGAGAACAGCTGGAGGAAACAAACCTAAATAACTGTTAGCTAGCTAAAGGATGTTAAAAGTGTGAACTGTGGACACCTCTTTGATAACGTCAAGATCACCTTGACTCCTCTCCCCCAAATCGCCACCGCAAAAGAAACTGGCGAAGTCCCCCCTCCAACCTGCTCGACCGAACACTCCACTGACACCGAACGCTCGACCGAAAGCCCGCTGTCCACGACGGTCACCGGGCCGGTCCTTGCGCTCCTCGAAGACGGCGACGCCTCCGATGTGATCCGCCTCCCGGGTGATCCTGCCGGTCGGGGTGTTCTGCGGGACGTGATCCCACGCGGCGTCTTCACGTTCAGCACCGAGCACCGAGCACCATCCCGCCGTCCCGCGGGGTCTTCGGTGGACCCAAAGGGGTCATGGTAAGGAAAAAGTAGGATCTATCGAATCACAAGGGAACGGTTCGCTGTCACTTTCGCCAGATTTTGGGTTGGTAGGTCAATGATCCACAAGTAGATGGCATGGGAGAAACCTTCCGTCCAAAAATCGCCATGCTTCTCTGTCTACTTCAGGATGACTGTTCGTGGTACTTTGAGACTCATCCCCCTCTTTGGGTAAACACAATGCACGTTAATACAATCAGAACAATACTAGATCTCTTTCTGATTGGTACTCGTTAAAAAGTCAGTTGAAGCAAAAGCCATCCTTAATCTAGGTGCGTAGCGGTATGCAACTCATCTAGGTTCCATCCCCTTTCCGCCGCATGCCTCTGGTGATGGAAAAAGAGCGGATCGTAGACGATGTGAACCCTCAAGCGCCAGCAGCGCCAGTGATGTCCAGCATCCACCAATTGGAACCAATGCCAGATGTCGTGGTGGACAAACTTCTCCAACCACCTGAAGTTCTGATCATCGAACCAAAGGGGGAAAACAAAGCCGTAGACTACGCCTCCTTTAGGTTTTGCCTCACCATCAAAAAAACCATTGGGTTTCTCTTCGGTTTGACTGGCCTTTTTGCGAAGCATGTGTCTGGCCCAATAGACGACGACCCAGTGACCCAGTGGTTCAATATAGCCCAGTGACCCGTTCATCCGCCGAACGATACGACACCGCGTGCGCATGTCGGAGAACTCATTCGGCCCTTCTTTTTCACCCAGTTTGGACTCTAAAAGCCATGTGCGGATCGTAGAACTTGTCGCTCAAAACGCGGAAGAAACGTCACGAAACGACAGAGGTTTGAGATTGGAAGAGACCATGATGAGCAATCTAGCGCTAGTTAGGTAGTTACGACCCCTCATGAACAAAACATGTCTCCGCACGAAACGTGGCCCAGAAACCTTTCCACAAAGAGTCACAAAGAGCAAAACATGGCTAGGGGGGAAACAGTCGACTTTTTGCGCCATCAGCGTGCGCCGGCGAAGCAGAACAGCCATTCATCGCAGAACCATCGCAGAACGAAAGCCCAGGCGGACGAGACGACCGGCAAGCTCTATGACCAACGGCAAGACGACCCGGCTGTGCTGCCGACTGCACTGGGCTCCAGTCGTAGGAAGAAAACGGTGAGTCTCCCATAAATGGATGGAATTGGATTGAACATCCCTACCAATTACCTAGGGGGGCGTCACCTAATTGTAAGTTACAATTTCCTGGGTTTGATACCTCGATCATGTAACTTACAATTACTAAATCACGTGAAAAATTGCAACTTACAATTTTGAGGCCTCAAGGTGGGTCAGACATCCCCCAGGCCTCAAAAATGTAACTTACATTTTACAAAATTGTAACTTACATCTGGAAAAAATAAACATGTATATAAGTTAACACTGTTCAGGTATGTCTTCCTGCAGTTTACACCACTTTTG